ATCCTTTCTGCCTCCAATATTCTCAGAAAAACAACCAGTTGTGTGTCTAATCAACAGTTGCCCAGTTTCATGGGTCATCTGTACTTTTCTATACTAGTAAACGAGTCTAACAGCTGACCTAATTAAAGAACGCCCTCACATATTGTGTTTTAAAGCTGAGAAAAAAAGATAATGGCCTAACAACCATATGATTTGTGAGGTATGAATGCTGATAACATGAGAACAGTATATAAAAGCGCAGTATATAAAAAATTATTTGGCATTAAGGTACGTAATGTTCTTTGATGCCTCTGAAGTTCAGTGGATATCAACATCTCCTCCTTCCAATGATTGCCGAAACATCAACAACATACATCTGCATTGACAAAGGGTATGAGGCAAAAGTCAAAGCTAAACAAATTATCAAGTTTATTCTACAGTGATTGTAGGCATGACTAATAATTTGGATGCTGTCTTTTGACCAACCTGCAAAAGTTGTTTTCATGTACTACACGGTACATGGTAATATAATGTGCTACATATATTTCTTTATTTTCTCTACAGGCCGTATCTGCCTCAGCTTCACCACAGGGTACTTATGTTGATATTGATGATACAATATTTGGATTAACAGATGAACAAAAGCATGTAAGTACCAATGAACTTGAACTTCAGAGTTTATTTGGTACCGAGTTTCAAGACCAAATTTGTTCAAATTGCTATAGGCATGAATTAGGCGATTTCCATATATCTCTATTTAAACCATATAAAACAAATTTATTGTTTCCAGTAAAAGTCTAGGAACATGTAGAAAGAAATCATGTTTTTTTTTTTTTTTTATGAGTTGTAGTCTTATGTTTTTGTAAAAACATAATCATCCTAGTTTAACTACAGATGCAAAGAACTACATCTACCTTAAATTAGTTTTCAGAATAATTTCCTTAATACATCTACATGTACATGGAAAGATGTAAATGAAATAAAAAAAAGTACAACATTTGTGAAATGACCATAGATTTGTAAACAATGACACGCTATGGCCATCTGATGCATGCACAGGTGACTACTCTCTCACTTTAAGTTAAATTTGGTGTTTAACGCTGTGGGACCAGTCTGCAAACCATAGATGTACAAGTTAAGTTCATTGTAACCTTTTTTTTTTTTGCAGTTACGCGAAACAGTGTTCCGATTTTTTCAGACTGAGTTAGCACCGTTTGCAGCCGAGATTGACTCTACTGATGTACATGATAAGAGAAGGGTGAGTGGATGTTATCATCATTATCTGTAGCATCGGGAATCAAAATTAAGGCCTCTCCACCTGTGTACAAATTGCTTGTCCCTGTAGACAGGAGACTAACTTACAAAATGAGCATAGTGCCAAGATGCTAATGCCTCAAGAAATTGCATTCAGTGTTTTAATGACCTTTGAAATGGTGATTAACCAAGTATGAACTTTTTATTATAAATAATGTTTTAATTTATCTTGCTATGGAACGATAGATCAACGATTGAGAACTTTAATGTCAACTTTGTACATATCTTGACATTATCTTATCGCAACTTGTTTTATGATCTAGTCATATGTAACCATTTGTCTCCAAAGCTCTGCCTTTTTTTGGTGCTCACTGCAAGTATAAACCATCCACAATAATTAGACTAAGAACTAACCGTCATAATTGTCATCCCAGATAATGGGTCCTACACATTAAAATAACATAGATGAACAGTACTTTAGCATGTCCCAGTTTGCTTCTATTAGTTTGGTGATAACATTCATAGCCAAGATAAGATTCATTTTTGCTTCCAAATTGTCAAACGTGAAAGTCAAAAATGTTAAAATCCCTCATGTGTATACACAGTTCCACACAACCAGACTCAGCTCTTGTCTGGACAGAAAATGACAAACATGCAAGTAAAAATGTCAAAAAAGCATGGCTTTCAAATTCTTGACCAAAATGTCCAACCCCCAGATATTGATTATACAGATTTGTTTACATTTTGAATTATTGCGAGTATATATTTATAACATCACACCTGGGTCTGGACCAAAAATGCTTTGAAAATGTTAAACATGCACAATTTCACACCTCTCAGTCTCAGCTCCCAAAACTTTGCTTTTTTCACATTTTACTTGTGTCTAATGCAAGTCAAAGTCAAAAGCTGACAGTGCCAAACATTAAAGACTCTAAGGTTGCCTGGCACAATTCAATTTACACCTGTCATTTTAGACAGGCAACAATTTGATACAACTTAAATTTCTGCAAACATATCAATTTTTGATTTGATTGGAAATTTTCAGTTTTCACAAAATATCTTCATATATCAATACGTAATCAACAAAAATAGACTCTGTGGCCACAGACCAGCGACTATCTTTCATTTCAATATGGATTTTAGACAGGTACTTTCATTTTCTGACTATAACCTGGCTATAATCACACTGCATCAAAGATTAATACAAAAAATATCAATTAAATTACTGGTATACAATATTCTCTATGACTCTTTTGATACCATCAGTACACAATACCTATCCAATTCTAATACATGTCTCAACCATACATAATATTACAATGGAATTTTTTTTTTTTACGAAAATTATGGGGTTTTTTTCACACATTTAGTGTAATGTAACACATTTCAAACATTTACTGCAGTTTTTCACTACAATTTAGAATGTAACTGTCCATAGAAATATACAAGCACATGAGGGGCCATATGTATTGATCATAACTCATTGGTAATTACTTGTTATTTTCACTAGGAGTTTTGGAAGCAATGTGGGAGCCTTGGTTTGCATGGTATAACTGCCCCAGGTAGGTGTGTTTCATAAATACTGGGACCACGACAGAACCAGAACTTAAACTGGGCGACTACGATACACGGTTGATGTTGAAGTTAAAAGTTCCTCCACAGATCTGTGCATTGGCAATTATGCCGTGCAACTGCGGTACTCCACTGACGGAATGACTTTCGTTGAAATCGGTTGTCGCTGACTCGTGAGCTGCACACTACAACCTCGTTTGTGATGTTGCTTGCTTGTCGTGGATAGACTGAGTCTTGGTTACCGGTTAAATTTTGCTAATTTGG